GTTGGCCAAGTTAGTTGTGGACTGACACGTCGCACCGTGACTCCCTGGATCTCTGCAGTCTCTACGCCTTCTTGGCGCACAACAGTCTAATCCGACCGGCAACGAGCATAATGAAACGCGACTCGTAACATGACATGAACTTAATACAAGCCTACGCAGAGACCGTGAGATCTGGTGGACTCAACGCGCGTCACAGATAGAACGTGCTGCCACTATGGGAAATTCCATAGGCTGTTCCATCTCATCCGGGTCACTGGCATAAGGTGTGAGCGAGACGATCTGCGAAGCTGACGGTTCGCCCATTCACAGTCAACAGTGCTGGTCATGGATGCATCGATCAAATCTTCACACTCCGACAGATGCTAGAGAACCTTCATGCCTACTAAAGAGCAACGATCATTTTATTCTTAGACATCCGCGCGGCCTTCGATTCTGTCGATAGGACCACACTAGGGAGCTGTTTGTTGATGAATGGAGTACTTGAGAAGTATGTGTCGATCCTCAAAGAGTTGTATCGTCATACCTCAGGTCGGGTTAGGGCCTATGGCCAGCTTTCGCCACTCTTTGCTGGGTCCAGTGGAGTTCGACAAAGCTGCGCCATATCCCAATTCCTTTTCAACTTTGTCATAGAGGATGTTCTGCGGAATGCTTTGTCCGGTCTAGCAAACGGTGGAGTCGAACTCCTCCCAGGGAACAGAGTCCTTGACTTAGAATATGCCGATGATATCGCCTTGCTTGGTAATAATACACAAGCAGTCCAAGACGCTTTGAAATGCTCGGTGATGGAGGTATCCAGATATGATATGTGCTTTGCACCTTCCAAGTGCAAAGTGCTTGTTCAAGACTGGCAGGAGCCTGTCCCTGCACTCACCATCTGTGGTGATCAGCAAGAAGTAGTCGAGAGCTTTAAGTACCTCGGGAGCTTGATCGTAGCTGGTGGTGGTGTTGGGGACGAGATCACATCACGAATGGCGAAAGCTAGAGCAGCTTTCGCCAACCTGCGACACCTATTGCACCGCTATGACATCCGACTGTCCCATAAGAGTAGGGTGTACATCGCCGCAGTTCGTAGTGTTCTGTTTTACGGTCACATTTTGAGTATACCCGCTCATCGACTGCCTTGCCGCGCTCTCTTCGCACGTGGCGGGCAAGGCTGGAAGAAGCTCCGAAGCGGTCAGACCATGACATAGAGTAGAGGTATGGAGAAGCTTGCTTCAGCTTTGGCGTTGGTTTGTGCAGCCCGCCTTCCAGGTTGGGGCCCAAGGTACGAGAATTGTCGTTGGTTAGAGACGCTGAGAGATATGATACAGAATAGAAGGCAGTGGCGCAAATGCTTTACGGTCTGTCTGTCTGTCAAAACCCCGTAAAAACAAAAAAGACATAAGAAACAACACAAAAAAATTGCAAAAGGTGTACGGTGAAACACAAAAATTCTGTTGTCTTGTATTTTCCGATGTTTAACTTTTTCACCCCTTTTTCACTATGTTCTGTACCCCAATCCACCTATCCCGTTTTATTGTTGTTGTTATTGTTGTTGCGTTGGCACCATGCTTGTTATGAAGCCGATGGTAAATATATGCATATGTATATTTCTGAAAATCTTTGTGACTGTCACAGACGGTTTTCTTGGGACACACGCACTTGTAGCATGAATGGCAGAAGAAGGCGAGCGGGTGATAGTATTTGCCTTTAGATTGTGGGAATCGGTGACTGTAACTCTTGAAGCAAATAGTGGTAGACCACCCGAGGCCTCACTATGCTTAACGTGATGTTGAGTCGAAAGACAGCTAATCTTCGTACCCGTTTATTGTCGTCGTGATACCAATTGTAGTCCTCGTCTTGAATTCATCAGCATCCTACTTTCATTTTTGACAACAGAGGGTTGACACATTTGCATTGTAGTTCTAAGTGAAAATTCTCTACGATGAACTTAACTTCGCAAGCTCATAGCTGTCCGAAACAGTCTTCATATACCGCGATAATAAATTTGACAGGATAATCGATGCGACTCTTATAATGCCGCGATCTATCTTCATAATTCGGTGGTTGTATAATTCGTCTTTGATGAATTTTCCAATAACAATGCATGACGGTGATCTCAACAATTCACAGTAATCGCAAAAACGTAACAACGATGCGTGTTACCTCGACAAAGCCGAGTCATCTCGATTTTTTCTGGCATGTTAGCTAATACCC